TGTAGATTCATTACTTAATTGTTACTATACTTTCAATTGTCAATTGTTATGGTAAAAATATGGAAACCCTTACGTAGAAATATCACTGCAAACCTATTTTTTTAAAATATAAGGGGGCAAAAGAGCAAGCGGCAACATGAATCCACTGAAATTGAAAGCGACCGCTGCCCATAAACATCTGCAGTATCAGATGCGTTGCCTATCCTTAATTGACGGAGGAGTAAATGGACATAAACAGGACATTTCCCCTTCCTATGCATCTCCTCTGTCAAATCCATTCCTTTCCTCTTAAGAAAGAGTGGAAAGGGAAAGGGACTAAAATTAAGCCTCCGGCACCACACTCATTAGACGAAACGCGGAATTGCTTCCACTTCACGCCTGTCTTCTGTGTGGTCGTAGTATTACACCGGGCGAGACGGCCAATTTGTGCGAAGATGTTAAAGCGGGCTCTCCCACTGTTAAATGTAGTATAACATTGGATAGTAACATTTATAGAAATCAATAGATCCATAAGATTCAGCGTAAAGATAAACAATGTTAGCTATCCTTTAAATAAGACATTTTATGAATATTAGCGCGATGGTTCCTCTTCTCTTTATCGTATTTTAAATTCAATCTAGTATTTTATAATGTAAGCCTGGTATTTTTGTTCTTACGGTTTTGTGAAACTTAATAAGCTCTGTAAAGCTCAAATGCAAATAGGATTCGACAATAGTTGAGCTTGGACAAATTCACATAAATTCCGAATGTTTAATTCAACTTTTACATTAAAAGTACTTACATTCGTTAAAACTAAAAGTTGAGGTTAATTAGTTGAAAGTCTCTAGTCTGGTATCTACATCATTTTAGGAAACTAATGCAGTTCATTGTAAAACTAGCGGCCAAATTTTGAAACGCACCTTATGCGATCCGCAGAATACAAATGTTTTTCGGCTAATACTTTCATCAGGTCGGGCTATTGAGTCGAATTCATATAAATCAAAATAGGTGTAATGTGCACTCTTCCATACACGTTCATACTAATTATGTGCCCGACTAAATTATCAATGTTGAAAAATTTGATGGGTATTTAAACACATCGCTTGGTAAGCGTTATTTGACAGACGACGTAATATTAGTGGTGTTCTAAAATCTCTAACGATGAAATTTACCCTTTTATACTACAGTATTTTACTATCAGTGAAGTAATCTACATAATTCTCTGCATAAAAATTTCTTAAAACTGCTTTCCGATACATCTATCTTCTCCTATCGTTTTTTTACATAAATGTTATTCTAAAACTATGTACTAACATATTTTGATATGATGGATGATGCATATCCGATTTATTTCACATCCCTTCCTTATTACAAAGGGTTGGAAAGGGAGATAAGAAAAGAATTAGGAGTTTAACACTCATTTGAAATACAGTCTCTACCTCACTACTATTTTCTATGAGGTAAGATTTGATCGCTTAAGGCGGCGTATTCGTACAACTGATGTTCTAATACCGTTTAGGTAGATACTGTTTTACAATATGTACTTATAATAATATTCTTTACAGTTTGTAACCAATTCGCTCGAGGTGTGTTCGCGATGCTGGGAGCAGTGACACCTGAATCTTTTGACACGTTGCATTCGTATACTAATACATTCCAAATGCCTTTCGTCACGCCGTGGTTTCCTGAGAAGGTATAGTTTTATGTTTTATTATCGTAAAAATGCTACATAGTTAAATAGAAAATTAATTGATAAGAAATTTCTTGTCCGTAAAATAACATTAATACAAACATGCTACGTTTATAGTCTTTGAAACATTATTAGATAAAGTTAGATAAATGCCAAAAAATATGTTTTTTTGGTAAAAACTTCAATTAATATTACGAATTCCTAGTAAATATTATTGAAAACATATCCACAAAACTTCTACGCCTCCTGGGCTCTTAAGTAACCATTTTGCCGACGTAACTTAGCAAATAGAGTCATACAAGTGTTATTAAAGGACCGAGAAATGGCATTTTTCCTCACGTTCACTAAAGCAGAATGGCATCAAGTAACGCTTTGATGAATATAAATGTTCTGACTGAGGAAAAAGTCGACTTCGCTAAGTGTCTAGCGGATTCCGCTGACAGTCATTCCTCTGATTCAATTTCGATGCTTAATTTGCGGGAACCATTTGTAAAAATTAAGTACTCGTATGTGCGAGTAGTTGGTTATCTGGTAAGTTTGTATTTATCAAATTCTCTTAATATATTAGTAATCAATGAAATTAATTTAGAAGCAATCTTTTATTTGCATACGGTACGTAAATCTGCAACAAGAACACTGTGAATACATTATGATGATGATGATGATGGTGATGATGATGATGATGATGATGATGACGATGATGATGTCTTTCATGACGTAATCCGTCAATGTTGAACTCAATACTTCTAAGCATAATTATACAATTTTCAAGTCTTCTATACTAATTTTAAAAAGTGGAAAGATTTGTATTTTTGTATGCATTGAATTAACACAAAAACTACTGACCCGATTTCAAAAACTCTTTCATCATTAGAAACTTACATTATCGTTAAGCAATTTCAGGTGGATAAACTCGCAGGCAATAGCTAGTTATCAATATAATTACATTTATTTTGTTCAGTCTTGCATATTTTACATTAACATGTGAAAAAACTGACTCTATTAGTTACGTTATAGATTTGTTTATAGGAATCGAGTAAATAAAAAAATTCTTTTTAAGAGTTTTCCGTTTCATTACATTCACGTCCGTCGTAGCTACGTCACTGGCATAGTGCGTTATTTTCTTCCTAATTTATGGCTTTTGTTTGAATTGAAAATAAGTTTATTTTACTTCAAAAACTAAATTCTACTTATGGTTCGTTATTATAGTGATATGCAACGATTAACTATAATTTATTTTTCTCCCATTAGGTAATACCACCATCGTCAGGGTTAATAGACCACGCTGTTAGTATGAGACCTGATTATCACAAAGCTGTTGTCGACACCATTTTATACTACGGATGGAAGGAAATTATTTACATGTATGACTCACATGATGGTAAGTTTTATTGTTATAACTAGCTTTCGCCCGCGACTATTATGAGTAGCTTTCGCCTATGTGTTCTACCAGACTATCCTCTACATCTATGGGAAATTTCATCAAGATCCGTTCAGCCGTTTAGGCTACAAACATCCATCCATCCATCCATGATTTATTTTCCTACGTATGCTCAGATTTGATAGTTTATTTGAACAATCGAACTATTCTATTTAAAATTTTAACTGTCAAACTGATAGTGTCAGTTAGAACTGAGCATATATAGCGGCCTCTCTATTTTAATACTTTTTTTTTTATTTTCACTATAATTGTAGCCGTGAGACTTGGTAGTTTCGTGTATCATGAAATACTAGCTTTCGTCCGCGACACCGTCAACGTGAAATAAAATAAATAAAAGAGCCTATGTGTTGATCCAGACTATCCTCTACGTCTATGCCAAATTTTATCGCGATCCATTCAGCTGCTTAGGCTACAAACTCTAACAAACATCCATCCATCTAAACTTTCGCATTTGCAACATTGGTAAGAGCTTTGCCGTGGTAGAGTCCGCTTTAACATCTTTGCACGAATGGGCCGGCTTGCCCGGTGTGTGTTTTTGTGTGTCTACGTCACACAAAAAACAGGCGTGAAGTGGAAGCAATTCCGCGTTTCGTCTGATGAGTGTGGTGCCGGAGGCCTAATTTTAGTCCCTTTCCCTTTCCACCCTTTTCTTAAGAGGAAAGGATGGGTAGAAAAAGTGCGTCTCCTCCTGCGTCAATTAAGGGTAGGCAACGCATCTGCAATTGCGGATGATTATGGGCAGCAGCCGCTTTCCATTTTGGTGTATTCAGGTGGTCGCTTGCACGTTTGCGACCTTATTTTATAAAAAAAAAGTTAGATTATTCCAAAAATATTGTTACTGAAATGAATACAGATTTAAATGAGAGCTGAGAAAACCATCTAATTTCTTTCACGATAAAGTAATAGTGTTGTAAGTAGTAAGTGTTTCATATAATTTCTATAAGCTTCAGTATAAATCAGATTACGGGATGTAATCTCCAGGTGTATTTAATACATTAAGCTTATCAATGTCAAAGTTATCAATACCCTATTATGACTGTTTTGACGACGTTGCTTTAGAGCAAGCCTAATATTATACCATAATTAATTAACCTAATTGATAATCAAGTGATTGCCCGATATTAGTTTCACAGGCTTGGAAATTTACATTGTAGAAAATAAATTGTTCACATTATGCTCTTAAAACTATTGTAAACTAAACACAATAATTTTTAATTAATATTGGCGATTTTAAATATTGTACAAACTATATATAATAAGTTTTACGCAGTAGGTAATCTCGTCATGAAATCGTCCAGTACGTTGGAACGCAATTTAATTAAAAATATTAAAAGAATGTTCGCATTGTTCTCAATAATACAATAGATTTTATGAAAAGCTATAGTATTATTACACACGTTTTGTTTTTTTTAATGTAGATATATGAAAACTTCTAAAAAGGTTTAAAGCACACACTATTGCTAATGAAAAATGATAATGTACGTGATGAGTTCGAACGCGAAGACAGGGTGGCCAACCCACCCAACGTATGTTTCCTATCGTTATGTTTATTAACTTTTTAATATCAGTGAATATTAAGATAAGGGTCAGGGTACGTTGTGATCGTTGCACGGATGTCGGCTTCGTAACATTCTCTTTATCGTTTCGCTTTACAACAGAAACGGCGGTTTTATAAATCGTAAATTGTACCGTTCGCTTGGGATTACAGCGCGGCCGACTTGTCCGATAATAAAATGTCGACACGAAAGAGATTGCGGCTGCCGAGCTTCTGCTAATATTCTGCTATAATTCTGCCGTGACCAGCATCCCGTTTAATAGGGTACCTATCGGCGATGGAGTACTACCAACTTTGTTTAATTTAACCGAATACTTTATGTTTACGCATTGCTGTATTACATAATTGACACTATCGCAGTATTCCTTACCTTCTTTCTATCCTATAAGTTTATATGGAGGTGCTCACACTACTGGATGTTAAGTTGTGGAACTATATAGTTGAATTGGCTGCAAAACAATCGACAATCGCACAACAGTTTTGCGAAAGTTTAGTCAAAACGGCCTGCCTGCTCTTAATAACCTCACAGATGTATCTCTTAAGATACAGAATACAACCTTATTCAGGAAAACTCATCTGTCACATTTATAAAAGGCAAATAACGTCTATAAATAACTGTTATTTATAGACGTTTATTGCCTACTAAGGCACTGGAAATGTAAAACAACACTCTAATTATATTATTATCGTAACAGTAAACTTCAAAACCAAATATGAGTATATACAATATAGTTCGACCTACTTAGATATTTCACCTTTACTCCAAACTCCCAGGGATTTTGTAGGAGGCATAAATAATGTTTAGGTATACTCGTAGTAAAGGAGCAGAACATCTCATTCGGGACTACATTGCTTAGCTATTGCTTCGAGTTATGAAACTTCCTTGGATTTATAGTCAACGCCTACCCATGTACTTGTTGCTTAACTCGGCCTAGTTACGTACTGTATAATATTACATCTCTACTACAATAATATAATAAAGAGGAAAGATTTGTAATTTTGGATTTTTGTATGTATTAATATAACTCAAAAACTATTGTGCCTATTTAAAAATTCTTACACCGTTAGAAAGCTACGTTATTGGTGGGTAACATAGGCTATGTGTTTTATTATTATTTAACAACAACAGCTAGTAAGAAATAAAATAATAGTAAAACATATATGGATATGTTAGTATAATGTTGTATTATTTTTAATCATTTTTATTCAACTCGATTTCCTTCCAAATTTATATCAACAACTATTTTTTTAACAACTTAATCATGTTTTTTTTCTACTTTTTATCATTTGCGTTTTATATCTTTAGTCAGATTTTTTGGCAAAATTTTCGCGGGAATGATGCTTTAAATAATACGAATTGATTTAAATAAAGAACACGATTGTGTTTTAGTTTTTAGTTCAACGTATTTCTAAATGCCGGTCTAGTATCTGGCAATGGACTTCAGTCGGTGACCTAAAGTTAGACGTAATGTTAGGAAATGACTGACCCGGTTCAGTATATCTGTCCGTTTCGATTTACACGTGAGCGACTTACATTTATGTACGGAGCCAACGGACGAACGGTCGAATGAAGTTGTCTGGGCATTGAATTCATTAATAGATAACGACTTAGCTGTCAAAGAAGCATTTACGGTTAATTAATTTCTGCTCCTTGTTGCCGTAAAATGATTAAAAATCAAACACATTAAAAAGTTATTAGCGTTACTAAATTTTGTAGGAATTATTTATATTTCACTAGCCTTCGCCAGCGACTCCGACCGCGTGGAATTATAAAACACAAAACTGAGTAGCCTATGTGTTCTTCCATACTATCCTCTACATCTATACCAAATTTCATTGGAATCCGTTCAGTTGTTTAGGCTACAAACTCTAACAAACATTCATCCATCTAAACTTTCGCATTTATAATATTTGTAAGAAGTAAGATGTATGTTTATGTTACTGTGAAATCGCGAACTCTAGTAAATTTCGGATCGACTGGAGTTCCAGAATCTTTACAGTGTACTTTACTGTACTCAAGTGATGGTAGTAAATATTTGTAACAAGTTATATTTTACCCATTAAAGGTTTTATCGGTAAAATGTAAAATTAACCAGAGTTCGTGCTTTTACAGTAACATATAAATGTAATAGTGATAAAACGTGCAGAGGATGTTTTGTATTGTCAACAACCGAAGTTCCATTGAGCGGTTTAATACTTTGGCTTGACTATGTTTCGGCGAACACGCCTTTTTGTATTTTATACCGCTTATAACACGTCGGTTTAAAATCTGTTATCTAATAACAACAGATTTTAAACCAGTCTGTATACAAAACTTTTATAACATTGTTGACTCTCTCAATTAAGTCGCTATGTTTACGTCATTATTTCTCTTATCAAAATTTACTGTATAAAAATCAATTATTTAACATTCATTTTACAACAACAAAAGTATACATTCTTATGTACAGTTTTCCAACTACATTTAATCATTCGTTAGTGTTTTTGGTTCGGTAAGTTCATGAAATTCTTTCGAACTACCAAACTTGACTTTTACTTCTTTGAAACTAATAGTAATCATTCTCTATATTATGATAAAAAATCAAATATTTACAAAGATAACAGGTTATAAAGTTAATTAACTGTATCGAAAAATCTATCACAATGCACGCAATTGTACTCTGATTGAGATGCATAATCAAACAGATATTACATGTGACTGATTGCATTGACTTCGTTTGGAATATATATAAGTAACTATATGTTTGTAATCAATAAGGAAGGAAGAATAACAACTAAGATCCTTGAATCTGGAGAAGTATCATCAAATAGATATGAATGCCTTACTTAATTACTTGATGACGAAAATAATGATGACTGTTATACTTAAATTACTTAGAAGGACCCCACTTGGAATGTAAACAATACCAAGACATGATGATTAAATTAATAATTATGTATGGCTGCAAACTTATAATATAAAAAATCATTTTAAACAGCAGTTCTTTAAAATAGAAAAGCTACAAAATTCAGATTTAATTTATCATCATTGTTAATTTAATATTATTCTATAAATACTTTTGTACGCCAATTCTTCTTGCTCATTACACGTTAGTTACACGAACTTGGTCTCATTCATTTCCGTCTGAGGCGAAGTTTCGCTTCCTCGAAGTTTACGCCTCTTCCACAACACTTCACATAATGACCCAACAACTGATTTTCTTTCCTTTGTGTACGGTTCTCGTTCATTCAATGGGTTAAAACAAGTTGTATGGACAGAAAAAGTACAACTAACTACAAATAGATGCTTGAAATTTTAACTATTTCTTTATCAAAACATTTTAAATAGGTTATATTCGAAATTCAGTACTATGTAAAAGGTTCTTATCGCTTCCTTTAACCTTAA